GCCGGTAGCGACAAAAACTGCAGGGAACTATGCAAAAAACGCATCTTCGCATGGGCAGCCCGTGCGTTGGCCAATTATTTTAGTTTTGTTATGCGTAAGGCGCATGTTGCCGCGAGTTTGTCTCTGTGTGTGTTTGGGTATGTGTGTGTCCGATGCATCTTGTCTGCAACTTTCAACTCGAGAACCGCAGAAGCTAGGAAGCTCAAAACTTAGGGTGGTATTGCCATGCGCAAGTTTAACTTCAGCCTTCCCCTGCCCCTGGGTGCAGCGTACCAATCCGTGAAAGGTGTTGTGGGAAAAATTATTATCTCGGGAAATATGGAAGCTAGGAAGCTGAACTTCTGGGCTAATGACCCCTGCCCGAATACAACCTCGCAAATATTCAGTTTCTCGGGCTCACATGTAATATCCGAGTGCGTATAGAGCAAATATTCAGCTCTATACGCACTCGGATATCACATGCGAGCCCGAGAAAATTTTGATGGAGAAATTATCTCCAGGACCATAAAAGGTAGGAAACTGAAATTTTGCTGTATTGCCCTATGACTTAACTTAAAATTCAGTCTCATACGTCTGGGTACTGTGTACGACTCCGTGAAAGTTTCAGTGGAGGAAATTATTATCTCGGGAACATTGAAGACCAGGAGGCTAAACTTTTAGAGTGATGACTCCTGCCTATGTACGACCTCGTAAATTTAAAATTTGCCCTCTTACACACCCGTCTCTGTTAGAGTTTTGACGAAGGAATTGTTGTTTCAGGAACCATAAAAACCAGGAGGCTGAAAATTTCAGGAGGATTTTTTTGCCTATGCAGGGACCTCACAAACTGAAGTTTAGTCCCCATGTATGCCAAGATCTCAGGTACGACCATGCAAATTTTTGACACGAAAATTACTCGAAAGCCATAAAAGTATGAAGTTGAGATTTTAAAAAATGTTCACAGCCCAATTTCCAAATTCAGCTTTCACGTACTGGTACGTGAAATTTTACATGAGAAATTTCGCAACTTAGGGGCCAGACGACATTTCAACTACTTTTGCACAGAACAAAGTGCAAAACACGGGAAATCCTTAGCGAGCAAACGTTCGCTGGACAGAACAGCGCAAAACGTATCATCGCACGGCTGCTTTGTGCGAACCGCTACTTATTCGTTTTACAGACTTGTTTTGTAACTTTTTAATACGACTGATATGCCGAAAGGTAAAGTGTTTGTTGTCCAAAAGAATAAGAACGTCAAAAGAGACTCAGTCCGTCAAACGCCGTGGGCTGTCCAACGACTTGTCAGTTCGCAAAAAACAGAGCTTCTATTTTTAGTTAGGCGTTGTAAAGATGGTCACTAAGATACTCCTATTAAATGTTGAAAATCAATTTTTTCCTATTCGGAAAAATTTTTATGTTAACCAAAAAAGTGTTCAACAACGGATGTGATCACACACTGACGATCAGCCGAAGCCGGAGCCGGTTTATCAGTTCAAAGGGCAAATAGAGAAAGACAGACGAAAGGGACGGCGGTAGTAAAAGGTGAAAGTGTTTGTGGAAACCGAACGTTGGTTCTGTGCCCTAATTGATGCGTTGAAACAATGATATGGTTGGCGCTGATACTGGCTGGTATCATCTCTCGTTTAGAAGGATGCTCACCACGTTACCGAGAGGAATTGCGATACCTGGATCATTATCTTGGAATTCAACCTGCCAATCGAGGAAATCTTCCTACAGCAGGTATTTTTGCTAGTGTGACCAAGTGCGTAGTGCGAAACAAGTCCTCTTCTCGTAATTCCTGGAAATCGAAAGCAAATCCTTGCAGGTGAAAAATTTGCCTGCTCGAAATGTGATGCGCTTTAATGTATTTCTGTCGATGTACACTCATGAGTTTTTCCACAGCTGTTACTACAAAGCTGGAAGACTGAATTCCATATTTTAAACCTTCATTCTTTTAGGAAATCAACTAGCAGAAACTTGGGATGTTATACGATTTTTTCATTAAACAGAAAATGTACGGCAAAAGGAGAAAATGAACACTGCATAAGTCCATTCTTATAAATCTAATTTGTACTTACTGAGGCTCAAGGTTTTGAGCAGTTGCTGGCGCTTATAAATAAAATTGGGCTCCTCCGGCTGGCGAACATGCGCCAGTTAACAGTTATTTTCGAAATGCCTTACACTTTTCTCTCACGATGTCTTTGAAAATAATGTTTGATTTTAACGATGCCTTCCAACTTCTTTTATTTTCCGTAATATTTTTAAAAACAACTACCGCCGATGCCAGTAAGCCATGAATTCCCCTGTTCCACTGCCTTACCTAGCGCAATTTGCACCAGTAAAACCGTAATTAAGACGTAAATTTAGAAAATGCTTTGAATCGATATATAACCAACTCATCGGAACTAAACTGTCAGTTCAAGAAGGAATGCGCTTGGATAAATGCGCCAGATGATGACTTACTAGATACATCTGATTTTTATTTGTTTGTCAAAACGGATGCCAAATCATTCCCAGTGCAGATTCAACCAGGGCCGCCTGATCCGCCAAACGGTTCCTCATTTTGACAATTTTTAAAACTACTTCAGTCGAAAAAAAGAACTCACAAAAAATCTAAAACCCTGGCTGCAGAGCAATAGGCTTGCCGTTGCGATCATGTGTTTTTGCGTTAGATTTACAGCAGTAATCCTTAACAGCAGGAATAGTTCCTGCGCTGTAGTTTAATACGTGGACTCATGTTGGCTTTGTTTTGGCATTTTCCTGCATAAAGGGGAAAGGCGTCAGCTGGAATGGTAATGCTGCATCATGGGGCTGCTTGAACCTCCAACGTGTGTAGTTATCAACAAAGCCCAGTCGCCTTTCCGGCAAGTGATCGTTGAGCGAAAAATGCAAATGTGATAAAGCGAAGGATATTGCAAGAGGATTACATAATTGGCGACGTGCACCGGCAGGTCCATGCGATCATGCGTTTTTGCAATATTTCGTGCTGTATTGAGATCGCTCGGAAACACAGTAGCTAGAATGTGTGATGTACTGGTCCTCAAAGTCCGGGAAGTTAATTGTCTACGCGGTATTTGGACAAGGAATATTTCGTTGAA